AATTGAAAAGTCGATTCAGTCGTAACAACGTGAGTGAGGAAATTCGAGCAGTTTTGACACAGAAAGCGAAATTTTGATATCAGACACTTAGGTGCAAGATTATGCCAAAATTTCATGTTTTTCGTCCTGTTTTTGCTCATTTCTCGGAGGCAAAATGAGCGAGAACGCTCATTTGTACATCATTGTAGAGAGAAATAAATGGCCTTTTTAGAAAGTGAACCATCGATAAGCAAATGTTGGTAGTTTTCTCAAAAAATGCTTGAATTCAAGAAGTTTTAGACTTGCGTGGTTGTCTTTGAGTTGCAAAATCCACTTGAACATGATGCTGCTTTTTTCGAAGTTTCTCAAGAACCATTCGAGCCAGAGAATTCGTTTTGGCATCGTTGGATAGAGAATTGAATGGGGAATTTGATTTGGAATTAGTAGAAAATGAAAATAATTATAATCCAGCCCCAAAGGCGCCCAGAACAGGCAATATAAAGCTCATTACCTCTGTCCAAATAGAGTGGCTATTTCAGTAGCATTGCTGTTTCCCGTTTGCAGCAGTCCCAACACGACAAATTCCTGGAGCGGCGGCCAGGCGTTCCTAAAGTCCCACTGCTCCCCACTCAAGTCCAGTGAGGTCGGAACTCCTCCCAAGAACTGATCGATTTCCTGCTTGACGAAATAAGCGGCAGCCCGTCGTCCGTACTCCTCCCGTTTGCTCAGCTCGTACGTTTCAGCCCACAGGGGGGCAAAATTGCTGGGGTAGAAGTAGTTTCGGGACCTTTTCAACACGGGGTCATAGTCGAGCCAGATGCCCTCATTCTCGTCGTAGAATACCTAAACCCATTCAAAAAATCAACCTGCTTCTGATCGGTTTAGCGGGTTGTTTACCATTTGTATGGATTTTTGCCAAATATCCGAGCGCTCCTGCCACTTGATTTGCTTGTCCGGGTTGTTCAGAAGCGCGTAGAACTCAGCCAGATGGCTGAAAGCTCTGCAAAGGAAAGCGTTGAGATCCACAGGAACAACGCGCTGAGCGCGAATGTGCGTTAAGTTAGTATCAGTACCGCCACTGTCGTCGAAGAACCATCTGCTGGAAAAGTCCCAACCAGTCTCCGCCCCACTTTTAATCGACTTATAACAATCCTTCTGCGAAATAAAACTTCCTCAACTCCACTCTTCAGGCTTGGCGCCTCCAATTACCTGGTCCTTCTCCTCCGTATACACACTGCAAGTCTTCAAATCCTTCTCATACGACTCTGGTCTGGGAGTGTTACTGAGCGGCTCAAAATGGGCCAGCTCATAATTCACTCCGTCCTTCTCCACCACATCCGTCCGGTTGTTCAGCCAGAAGGTCAGCTCTGCCTCAATGCACTCGATGTTGTTCTTCAACCAATCAGTGTCTTGGGTGTATTTCAAATATTCCTCAATCATCAGAGTGAATAGAGGCGGTTGAGACCTATTGAGGTAGTAGAGTCTGGAGCCGTTGGGCATGAAGCCGAATTGGTTGATCAGGTAGCAGATGTTTTCAAGCATTCCCCTCACAGTAGCGTACATGTCGCTTAAGAGCAGCCCTTTGATGATCCAATAGGAGTCCCAGTAGTAGAGCTCCCGAAATCTTCCTCCGGGCACAATAAACCCGTTGGGCACTTCCAAGATCGAGTGCTGATCGGGATTCAGGTAAACGTCGCTGCTGATTTTCCGCCCTAAACTCGGCCAAATATCAATCAAGTTCTTGGCAAACTGCAGGACTTCTTTGTCGTTGATCTTCTGGAGGATGGCGGGACTGTTGGTGAAGTCTGCTGGTGTCCAACTGACCTAA